TTGGTTAGAAAAACGAAATCGGATCACTACTCTATATTTTTCAGAAACAGATTAAATCGTCCGTCTTTGAAAAGAATCCTGGGATACGGTTGTTTTATTTGTTCTGTTATTGTTTAATCTTAGATTGAAAGTTATCCAGTACTACATTCTCTGACGTCATCGGTTTTTGTTGCCCACTAGCTAAAAGGATGTTTTGGTTACAGAATTCTATTTTGTGTCTGTATGGATTGTGCTATTGATGGATGGTGGTGCCAATCGGTTAGCAATTTCTCAAAATCTAATGTCTTTATTGGAATATAAGTAAATATATAAGGATCATAACTCTCCTTAAAATGAGGATTCGATATTTGTCGGATCAATGGGAATGGATGACTTGTTTTGAAGAATGACACATACATGGCTGTGAAACTGGGATAACAACGTCTAGTTCAATAAATTTAACTCGTGTAAATTAATTAGCATTCTGTTAACATTCTGTCCAAATGAGTGCATGGTAGTTAACAAGGAAGCCACCGATCTCTACATGACGTCATGCCTTGTTTTGTCCTCCGTTCACGAGAGGAATGAAGCTTAACGAATCCGTGAGATTAAATTACTAGTAAATACTTTTACTGATTTGGAGTTTCAAGAATTTGATAATAGTCCCATCTCCATCAATGAAAGTTATGGGTAGTCTTGAACCCCAAAGAAAGCTTTATACAAGTTTAAGTTGTGATATTCTTAATACTAACCATAGAGATAATAGTACAGAATTATTGTTAGGGGTAAGTAATTTTTATAAAGCATGCTAAAATTTAAGAAATATATTGTTTAATTCTGTATTTCGATATATTAATAAGCGAAACGCGGGGAGAGGGTGATAATAGCCAAGGATTATGGTTCTATAATTGGCTGTATTATTTCTATCATATTCATTCTCTTATATGAAATGGTCTAAAATAGGACTACTCAACAAGCATCAGTGATTACCACGGATATATTTTTGGAAGGATACGGTTGAACTATTTAGTGATATAGTTATGTATTCTTCAGGACTGACCAGCAAGGTAGTGTGTATTATGTGTGCAATATGTGGACTTCAAAAATAATTTACATAATTGATTTGATTAATCTGTTTTTCCAGCTGATCTGTTGACCCTAAGTTATTATTTACCGAGTAGATTCTGGCTTTTGAAATTCACGTCCAAATTATCATCCAAGTAATGGCGTATGTGTTACACGTGGCAATGCATGCTTATCTTTCTAATATACATAATAAACTCTCATTTGAGGCGATCGCTTATCCCTTGTGTTGTACTTTTATGTTTTCATTTGAATATCCATAAATTCCAGTCTTATATTAAGACGTGGTTCGTGAGATTTATTGAATGGTTATTTTCCTATGCATGCCAGGTAAATTAAAATGGCTGATTTACGATACCACTTAAATACAAGCCTGTACTAAACAGGAGTTAATATTTGTTTTTAGTTGGTAATATTACGTGTTTCGTGACTCGAGTTGTTTTATTAGAAAATTGGTCAATTAGAACAAAAAAGTGCTAGACAGGTTTTAATTCTGTTAAATGTGACGATAAGGTCCGATCAAAAGCGGAAATTTCAATAGGATCGACAGCAAACAATGCCTCTTGTGTCACGAAAACACGCAAAACTCAAAGTCATTTTCATGTCAAAATTAAATGGTCTTATTTTGAGTATTCTCATGGTGGTCACAATGATAAAGTCCACTCACTATTTACCTTAATTTGCTTTTCGACTGACGAACTCTTATGTACACGTGTTGTGTTACATGTACGAAATATGTGCCTAGAAACTTTAGCATTTCTGTTTATCATATTTGTGTGTGACCTCACTGATCAACAACTGGAACAACATATGCCATAATCTTACCCAATCAACTTTGAATCCAGCAGTTGACGGTATTTTAAAGTAGTACCTAGCAGCTGCCGATTTAACGCTTGCTTAAAGGTATAGCAGACACTTAACATTTTAAACAGCGCGTTTCATTTTAAATCTCCAGATCTGATTTTATTAATCTCTACAAATCAACGCAGTGGAAACACTGAGTACCAATTGCATGTCTCCATCTATATTTTTTTTAAAAACCAATTCAAGATAAAATGGTTATTATTATAAAATGACATAATTGGTATTGCTAGAAAACTAATTCCACATTAAATCATAAAATAGCAATTATTTGCGTATATCCATATTCTTAGTTTTTAAAACATTGAATGTAAGATGTGAAAATTGCTAAATTTTATTTTTTAAAGCATAAACTGTTGGAATTTATGGATTTGTCAGGATAGAGCACACATTGCAACACATCGGCATTATTAATCAATATTTATATTACGTTAATATTGATGTTATTGCAATTCAAAAACTGTCAAACACGTTTTTATCATTGTATCATGATAAGTTACAAATGTAAGGGCTTGAAACAAAATTCAAAAAACAAAAAGTTAATTTGAAGTATCTCGAAGGAGCATCCTTCATTCTGCCTTCATGTACAACCGAATAATTTGCTGGTTTGTTACGATATTTGGCTGTTATGTTGATTCTAATAATCCAAGTGATTAGGTTAAGCCAACCATACTTCATGTTTCGTTTTTCGTCCCTTAAATAATTTTCCGGAAAGAATCAAATGTCGATCCTGACATGTTGATTGATGTCAACTACAGAATAATTGACAACAGCTAACTATCACAAAAAGCCAATGATCTTTATACCAGGTTGTCAGAACACCATGCATCATGTAATTTGATGTTAATAGCAGTGTGTTGGTTAATATTGTTCTTGCCACAACAAACATATTGTGTGCTTGGTCATGAATTCATTCACTTAACATTTCTTACACTACTGTCCGTAACAACACACTATGTGGAATAAATAGGTTACCAATCATTTATTGTCAATGTTTGCCCTTTCTTGAACACCGGATACCACTCCTCGTTTGTAGACTAGTATATGTAGACTAATAAATCTCATGTAATCGAAGAAGTCTGTTGTGGAGGGGGGGATTTATTTCAATATTGCATTTGTTTAGGCCATTAAAATATACCAGAAGAAGATCAGGAACAAGCAAAACGGCTTGAATATTCCTCGAAAATTTGTGCAGAATCATGGCTGCGATAGATTATTCGATATCGTGTACACAGCGAGTTACGCAAGGCATAAAGTTTATTTGCATAGTGGGGTTAATAAATAACGAAAGCTAGCAGTTTTAATCAGATAACCGGAGAAAGACGTAATTAAAGATTCTATATGGCTACTTGCAGGTAAATAGACCCACTCATTTAATCAATCAAAACTACGTTTATCTTGAATAAATCTAGATTCAATCGATTAGTGTGATGCAGGTTTAGTAATATTGCTACTTCGTTAAAGCGAGTAATAATATATTATATTTTAACGGTTATTCTTTAACTTTACTATTTTCACACACGTGACTAGACAGATAGAAATTCCATAGCTGCTACTTCAGTGCAGACAGAATGGTGTTTTTGCTTTTCACTCCCCCCCCCCTTTTTGTCTAATCCTTACTTCACACATTCTATTGTTTTTCTTTGTAATTGATGTACTGATCCACCAATTATTAGCCTACCCTTTCCTCCGCCCATAACAATCATCGCGTGGACCAAATGAATTTTTTTACACTTGGAAGAAAGGCGTGAGTCTGTGACTACTTGTGGGCGTATTTTTGTTTGCAGGGCAACTTATGTTTTCATTTAGTCTAGATCAATGAAAGCTTATTGAAACCTTAATAGCATAGATATTCAGTGTTTGCCAGTAGTCTATTGTCAGTATGATCAATAATTATATAATAATATTGTCTAGAAAAAATTCCCAGCCAATCCCCGTAATCATTATTTTGATGAGATGTTGCGAAGTTGTTTGGATCCAGCCGCCTCGTAATAGGCCTACATTCACAGCATTGTGGGTTCTGTGGGCGAAAATTACCCCACCCTTTTCAGATGTGTTTTAACTTGAAGGATGAATATAATTTTCGGATACTGCTGGACGTAGGTTCAACGTATTTTATATGTATAGCGTATTTTGTACTGGGAATTTAACATATCCACATTCGAATTTGAATTTTTATTAACAAAATGTGTGTTGTATCGTTGTTTTAAAATTAATTATTGTGTAAATAATTGAGTAGATGTATAGTTAGATTCAAGTTTTCTATACCCAGAGTTGCTAATATGTTTACGGACTCCGATCCGTTTTAGAACGCCTGAAACTGCATTAAGTAAAATGAAATGAAATGGGGGTTACCGTTCCAATTTTCTGCGCTTACTGGGCTAATAGAGACGGTACTACATTAAGATATATTTTTTTTAAATTAAAAGCCGAAAATATAGTTGAGCAGGTTTCATTTGTTTCAAGTTTTGAAAGTGGTTTTGCTAATATGTATACAAGCCCCAATTTGTCTGAAACTGTATTTTGATAATATGGATTTTCAGTACTGCTCTTTAAAAAATAATAATAGGGATTATCATGATTTATGGGGTTTAGTTTGTAAAGATGGGTTACTGTTCACAGTGCTCTTTATCAATTAATTATGTATGGTTTAACTTGTAATATTGTTCTTTACAAATTAATTGTAAGGGGTATATTGAGGTGGGTTTAGTTTGTTTCCTGGTTTTTGTTTCAAAAAAAGGGAAATTCATATCTTTCTACAAACACTAGTCTTATAAAACGTTTAAAACTACCGAAAGATGATGTTTCACGCTTAATATTGGTCTTTCAAAATCAATAATAGGGATTATATTTGATGGGAGATAGAGTTTCTATTTTTGTATACGAACCTAAATTCCGTTTTTAATTTTAAGAGCCACCGTTATTACTTTCACATAATCTTACATAAGACGCCAACAAGGATCGTTCTGGTCGTCTTTGAAATCGAATCAGAAAATGCTCTAAAGATAAACTACATCATTTCCATTACGGTGTAAATGACATAAGGATCAAAGAATATTGTTTTTTTTCTATTTTAGCTTTTGGCGGCCCAGACATTGAAGATAGCAAGTATTAATGGCTTTAAAGAATTAGATGACTTGGAAAATGAATTGGAGGAGGAAATTGCATGGGAAAATCGAAAAACTAGAGATACTTTGGCTAAGTAAGTGGCATCAATAAACATATCATTTGCAGTTGAAGTTCATCACATTTCTAACATTTATCAATGTAATGGTTTAGTAAGTTCAAACGCAACGGAAGGCTCAAATATTTATTTCCATTTCACATGAATAGCGATATTAAACTGACTAGCTTCCTTTGGTTTTGACATAGAACAAATCCACAACCATATTATAGATAGACTTTAAAATGTTTAATGTAAATTTCACAGAAGAAGCCACTATTCTTCCCTGAATAGGTCAACGAAACATCCTTTCAATGTGAATAATTTAATCGTTCCCAACGCGTATATAATGCCAAAGACTAATCATGTCCGAATTAAGAACGTGTTCTCGAGAAAAGCATGCAAAATGTGACAAGGCCCTAAATCATGAATCCGGACCATACTACCACTGTTGGTTCCTTAGGACCCCCAGATGCACATGCGGGCATATTGCGATCCAAATCGCACCAGTACCCACAGAAATTATTTTTCGTTATTTTCTTAAAAATAATGGCTAATTTTAATGCATTTCTTAACTAAATTTTAAGTCTCACTCACGCAACGGATACTCACCTGAACGAAATTCTTTTTAGGGATTTTGTAGGCCTACTGTCCCTTGAAATTTCCCACAAAATTATTTTCACTTGAATCCAGCCATAGAGCCTGGGTTAGAGTTTCGATACATGAAGTCCATGGCATCAAATAAAATAGGCTATGTTTCGACACGTTTCGCTTTACTGCGGCGGGGGTGGGAGCGAGGGTGAATACATGTGCTTTTAGTACTTTATCTCCACTATATATATCAACAATAATATTGGATGCAGCTCGCCCCAGTTTTTCGGAGCGAGTGTTGAAAGTAGGCACACTCGGCAGATATTACGACACTTTCGGATACGATGTAAGTTAAGTTATTGTCAACTTTTCTGCCATACATCAAGATAAAATTTCGAATGTAGCTTCCCCACGGTAATACAAAGCCCAGAAGGGCACTTCCGGTATCAGTGACGTCACTTCCGGTTTCTTGGACTTGACACTAATATACCCATGTTACATATCGCTGAAAAGGTCATCACATGTACATTACGATTCTGTCATTACCACACGTTTTTACAGAGACGTCAAGGGAATATGGCCAAAACATCGCCGCAAACTTGATCTGAGTATATGAGACGATGATAAAAAGAAATATACGAAATGTAAAGACATTATTAATTTGAATAGTATTCCATATATATTATGTACATATCATACATATACAGTTACTAGCAATATTATAACTCGTAATACATATAGGCCTGTATCTCATATCACCATTCGGTTCGAATTTTTATACGCCCACATTTTCATGTGGACGTATATTGTCGTCGCCCCTGTCCGTCCGTCCGTCCGTCCGTCCACAATTGTTTGTGAACAGTCTACAGGTCACAATTTTTATCCGATTTCAATGAAACTTGAAATATAGGTTTATCACCCTAAGATCTCGGTTCCTTTCGATATTGGCATCTATCGGACCGTAACTTCATGAATTATGGCCCCTGATTGTACGAAAAATCACGTCTTTGGCTTGTGAACACTGTAGAGGTCACAATTTTTATCCGATTTTGTTGAAACTTGAAATGTAAGTTTATAACCTAAAGATCTCGGTTCCTTTCGATATTCTCGCAGATCGGATCGTAACTGCCTGAATTATGGCCCCTGATTTTACGTAAAAACGCGTTTTTTGGCTCGTGGACCCTATAGAGGTCATAATTTTTATCCGATTTAAAAAACCAAATTATTATATCACCGTTAAACCCTAAGGACGGTCGAGTTCGAATTTCGTGAAAATCGGCCCAAAACTGACAGACAAAATGGCCGCCGTTCGTTCTCAAATAGCGTAAAAATATGGTATATCAAGGTTGTGGACCCTATAGAGGTCACAATTTTTATCCGATTTTGTTGAAACTTGAAATGTAAGTTTATAACCCAAAGATCTCGGTTCCTTTCGATATTCGCGCATATCGGACCGTAACTTCCTGAATTATAGCCCATGATTGTACGAAAAATCACGTTTTTAGCTTGTGGACCCTATAGAGGTCATAATTTTTATCCGATTTAAAAAAAAACGTATTAGTATATCACCGTTACACCCTAAGGACGACTGAGTTCGAATTTCGTGAAAATTGGCCCAAAACTGACAGACAAAATGGCCGCCCCTTGTTCTCAAATAGCGTAAAAATATGGTATATCAAGGTTGTGAACCCGATAGAGGTCACATATTTTTATCCGATTTTGTTGAAACTTGAAATGTAAGTTTATAACTCAAAGATCTTGGTTCCTTTCGATATTTGCGCATATCGAATTGTAATTTCCTGATTGTAGGAAAAATCACTTTCGTTTAGCTTGTTTTCTATCCATCTCTTGAAAATGTGGGCGTATACTGCCTGGCAGCCGCTGGTTTGATTTCACACACACTAAATGAAAATACATAGTATAAAACGTTACAAATCGTGAATGCAAAAAGTGGCACAGCATACTGACAGTTCTCTTTTCACAACATTTTAAAAGAGACTGGATGTCAAACAAACAGCCCAGACACCTGACCGGAGGCGGGATATTATAAGAGCCATGATTTCTGAAACAGTATCAGAGTGGAAATGAAATTAAGATGAAGATAAATCAATAGAGATCAAGACAATCAATCAAAAAATACCTTCTAAAGCGAGTAAATACCCAAAGTTCCCAGGGTTCCTGTGATTTGCATAGATCCGATGCAGTGAAACTTTTTTCAGATAAATTATGTGTCACTAATATACTTCAGCCCTCAAGGTCGATGGCGACCATGCACCCCACCGCAGTCGAGAAAAACGCGTTTTAAAATGGGTCTAATTTCAGTGTTTTGGATACCTAGGTTTTTCAAACTAGTCTCATTTCTACACTCCAACTTGAACTTCGTTGATATTGGGCATATATTGAGGGGAACCCAAGGTGGTTTATACTTCATTATGAACAGTCTTGAAAAATGTGTACCGAAGCCGCAGTTGCCGTCAAAAGTATGGTATTTTTTCTCACTGAAAATAGCGTCGTTTTAAACCAAAAAAATCGGGGCGACCAAGCTCCGCAATCAGGCGGAGCAGAGACCTACTTTATTTTCTGTGGGGTCTGGGGGCCCCCGGGGTACCAACCACGAAGTTTGATCAAAATCGGTTTCCTGCTGCCTTATCACTTTTTGCAGAATTTGCATGGTCTTCTCACGGACTCGTTCTTAAATATATACATGCTAAACACAAGTTTTATTTTTATTAAAAACAAAATGAAGGTAGTAAATTAAATGTACTGAAGTCTTATGTTTCATATCTTTTAGGATTCGGAGAAAAGGTGAACATATTTTACATGCCAAGTTCTGTCTCCTAGCTATCGTTATACTCAATGTTGTAGATTGCTGTCTTGTAATAGGTGAACTACTAGCTGAATTTCATCATATGAATCGTAAGTTTCGTTTTTGTTAATTAAACAATTTGTACTATAAACGATTCTAACCGTGCACGTATATACGTTATGTCTTGTCATCCTTTGAAGACTTGACGCAATATTCCACAGTACAGAAACCGGCCTGGAATGTAACAGAATTGTCATCTCAAGGATTAAACTTACGTGTAAATTTTTGTAAATTTTGTTCTTTCAGCAACTAATGATTTAATATAAAGGCGGCTGTATGTCGACCTTCTCACCCAAACCCAATTCGCTTGCTTAAAAATACACAGTTAAAGTATACATTTATGCAGCATTTAACAACCTTTTTTTCACGACACAGATCTTGCTTAACTCTTAACAATTAAATCAACTGTACCCTCATGGTCAATGCGAAAACGTTAGATTATTTCTTTACGGGGTTTTAATCCGTCAACGAAGTTGTAAAAGACTGCGTTGAGTCTGTAGGTCGACATACAGGCTGTTTAATTAGTTCTGTGTGTCATCTAATTATGGAATAACATCTTCGTTACTTTAATCGTCGGATTCACCAACATGTGTTTATTCTTTTGGCAGATTCTAGCTACACCTGTAGTATAGTTTACGGTTGATACCGACAAATCGCCGTGTACATAATCTGCGATGTTTACTGCCTGACCGATAAAATTCAGGTAAAAGAAAGTCATAGGTACGACGGAAAATCTTATTTTAACCAGTTCCAGTATATCTGTTTTGTTTGTAATAATTAGAAAATAAACAAAAACAGGTAAGACTGACACCAATGTCATATGTTTTGTGAGGGCAACATGTTATGTCGTTTTCTGTTATGACATATTTTCACGTGGCCGATGGTCGATATCCCGTAAAGGGGATATTTTTTTTTTCATTTGACGAGATGGAGAAAACTACTCGTCGCAATGTTACAGGGGCACAGATAACCAAATATTGCTGACAGCGCATTGCCCAATCTAAGGCGGGGGGGGGGGGGGGGGGGGTGTCCGGACTCTACGATCAATCGAATTATTGAAACTAAATTGAACCATTGTTAGTCCCGAAATGACCTAGTTTGTGTCGAGCGGACGTTAAACCTTAATTCTACCCCTCTCTCTTTTGTTTGAATATCCAATCGCAGTTATGTGATGTGTAAAATAAAATAAAACCAAGTACGAACAATCTAAACCATCAGCCAAAATTCGAAGTTCTAAAAAAAACGGTATAGGCAATATAGTGTAAGTGTAATCAGGCAAAATAGTGTAATCAGCATATGGACTGTGACCTGAAATGATTAGCCTTTTCGAAACAACTTTTTGAATGTGTCATTAAAATTGGTTAGTCATTTCAAATTTGTCTATTGTTTCATGAAGAATGCAATCAGAAAGATTGGACAAAGGGAAATTGTGATTTTGAAAAACGCTACTAATTGCAAAATATTTCACAAACTACTCAGAAAATCTTTTGCGGGTTATAATTTAGCAAGGTGTGAAAAAACATAAGTGTAATTAATCCATTGTTTATATCCGTGGCGATAACCCCGCCTTTCATAAGTAAACTTTGTTGTTTTCTGTTTTAAGATTTATATCAATTACTTGCTCTCTTGGGACATAAACACCCCCAAAAATCCATATTTCATTCATATTTATACTGACATTATCGAGCGTTGATCATAGTAATCACCATTTAATCATGCGATCCACGAGAATAATAACGTGGTGAAAAGATTGTTATCGTTTCAACACAAATATTTCTTACGAACTTATAAACATAGTCGATATAACTTGCGTGCACACAGGAAATACAAGGAATGTTAATTAATAATTACAAAGAATCGTCAATTAATTTTACCAATATCCTTTAAGTAATATTTTGATAAGAATAAAGGCATTCTAAAATTAGATAACTGTCGATCTTGATGTGAGCTATACACGAATTGATCACAATTCATTACTAATCTGAAAAAAATACCCCTAAACAAACAAAAATTAGGTTACCATGCGACACGTGTAATACTTGAAAAAAAAAAGCCATACAGCAATCCTATCCATGTTATCCCTGAATATCAATAAAGCATAAAAACTACGAATGGCGATTAATTGAAAAATCTATTAAACATATGTTGCACATATATTCCAAGTGATCTTTAGCTACTTTTGCATCTAGTGCGCCCACAACTTTATTTGACGTCATATTTTACTTATCAGACTATAGATGTAGTCAGACTTTTTGATCGAATTAATATAAGTATCGCATAAAAATTGTGGACTGTGGAGAATATGAATATACCAAATCAGACATTTTATGATTGTAGTTTCGCTGATTGGTGCCTGACAACTAAATATTGGTACAGTTTATTAGTGCTCTGGAGCATTGGGACGGTCTGTTAATTTCTGTTAGACGTTTATGTATCCTAAGCTATTTAGGCCATAGTCTGTTCTGTTATATTTTTTTTCTGAGTTAAAACATTAATCCCGTATTTAGGACCCTTGAACTTTGACCACTTTGTTACATATTTATATATCCTAGGCAATATAAGTATTTGGATCATAGTCTGTTCGATTGTATTGTGTCTTCCTGGTTTAAAACATTAATCCAGTATTTACGACCCTTGAGCTTTGTCCACTTAAAGATATATTTCGCAAACAAAAAGGCAATATAAGATTTTTTATCCCAATGCGTATACACATGTATATATTTTGGGGTGACAGGTCCATTGGATTACAACTCAACCCGATATTAACTAAGATATATGAATAAGTTTGGGCATTATTGACATTATATTCACAAGACCAGACACAATGTGGGGCAGAAAGGAATGATGACGTATATATGTTGTTTTTAAAATACACAGTGGATCGAACCCGGGGTCTCCTAGTTAATGAGACAGTGCCATACTGATCCACTCTGATTCCCCTGATCAGTTTTAAACCCAAAGCTCAGCGTGCCAAAATAAAGGTTTGGTATAAGTTTTAAAAACAAAAGTTATTTTTAGAACGAAAGCAACAGAGGACAATAAAGATGAACTTTAAAAATAGGATAACAAAATATAATTTAAACTCATATGTATATTAATTATATGAATTTGATCATGCTCAACCATGTCTTTTTTAAAAAAAAAAACAGAACAAAAATCCCCCATGTATTTCAGCGCTTACTTCTTGCAATCTCTCTATATATTGCCATTACCTTCTTGTGTATAGACATTAACGAAGTACTTGTTGCTCGACTGTTTATCCAGGAATAATAAGTAAAAAATCGAAGTATAAACAAAGACGAATGTTGTTAGACATGGACGGGTTATTGTGTATTTGACAGTATATTAGCTGGAGTTAAATTAGATTGTCAATACCATAATATCTTTGTTCACTCTTTATTTCTGTCAATCGATGAGTATAATTATAACCAATTTCATCTTACGATGGTTCCCGTTGTGGAATCTGTAACAAGACCAATACAATCACACAATGTATGAAATGAAATGGGATTTAGCGATCCTCTTTTCGCCGTTAACCGAGTTAATACAGTCGGACATACGCCATACAGTGTGTAATGAGAGAATGTTTCTCATCAGCGTTTTCGGCCACTGTTCGTCGAATATTTTACATGCACGCCACCTCTGGTTTTTGTCCGTTCCAAACGATAAGACGCATTTTTCTGTCAGGCCCAGCGTCCCGCACCACTGAAGTGAAAAGTAGGCTGGAAAATCTCGAGAAATCTCCTTGGCCGACACTGTATCGAACCCGGGATATGTTGAATCAGCACGATACTTACTGGGACACATCAAAGTAGCTGTGTGAGTTACCGTTTCTGGAACAGTTGATACCTCTTCTCGGATGTGATGGGTTCACTCGATCTTCTGATTGATGTCCGGGGGTTGGATGGCCGAATGGTTAGCACGTGCGTGCTGTATCATAAGGTCCTTTATTGAGTCAACTGGCGTCGTTTCGATTTCCCGGTCGTACGTGATAAGGATAAGGGTCGCCTGTCCTACCTCGTGGGTTTTCTCCGGGTCCTCCGGTTTCCTCCCACTGCTAAAGACCCCTAAGCGCAAGCGAATTATTGAATTAAAATTGAACCATGCGTTAGTCCCGAAATGACCTAGTTTGTGTCGAGTGGACGTTAAACCCCATCTCTCTCTCTCTCTCTCTCTCTCTCTCTCTCTCTCTCTCTCTCTCTCTCTGATTGATGTCAGTAGCAACTGGGCTGTGATGAATTCTTATGATCTAGCAGATTTTCACAAATCGGTTGGCGTCCCTTCGCTCGCATACTTCAGTACTAGACCAGAAACCGACGTGATGTTAATAAACGTCGAAGTTGTGCATCCCTATTGACAAGTCAAGATTGTGCGATATAGGTTTCATACTCTAGTTGGACTCAGACTAGCAATTATTTGCCCATTGACTTCAATGTTAAATGACTGTAACATCACAGGCTGTAGCTTTTTGCTCAACATTCCGTTGGTTCCAATCTTTATAGGCACAATGGGTACAACATTTGGCAATCTCCTCATCATAATTTTGTAGGGGGTTGACCATTTAGATTTTTTGCTACACGGATTTGAAGTTGACAGGGGTGAAAATCTCACTTCCGACACAATGATTGCTCTGCAGAAAGACACTTTTCACCCCCTATCCCTCCCCTTTATATCATCAGTATTACCCAAAACTGCTATGAAATTGCAATTTGATCCCTTTTCTCCAATTCTAGACCAAAAAGTCAACCCAAAAATGCAGGAAGAGGGGAGAAAAAAATTAAGGGAAAAATTGTCTATTTATAACTCGCACTACATTCGTCCATCATGAAATAAGGGGAAATAATTACTAGTCTTAGTCCTATATACCTCACATGTTTCTGCAGTTTAAACAAATCTGTTGTTATCTAATAAACAAACATATATGCAATCCCCTGGCCAAAGAATATGAAAATCTATGCATTTTCAGATGAGCTGTGCGGCATTCTGCAAACACTATAATACATCAGAAAACTGCGGAATTTCAGACAGAAATTTAAAAGCACATGAATTTTGAATTAAACAGAACATTCTGTAAAAAGATGAGATAAATTCAATATAAATCAAACACGAAAATACTTTAAAACAGTAATCATGATGCAATATTAGACTTTTTAACACTTTCATCGAAAACCACACAGTTTTTCTCTGTTAACGTAGTTTCAAGTGCCAAATTGTGGTCAAATCTAAAATGTTGAAACATGCAGTGCCTATCAATTTTAAAATATCTCCTATATAGCTGTATTTCCATAGGATAAGTAAGTTGAAATAATCTGATTATGTAACACTACAACAGCTTTTTCATCCCCACCCCCCAGTTTGGAATCTGATAATTTAAAAGCACATGAATTTTGAATTCCACAGAACATTTTTATTTTTGAACATAAATGCATTCTTCAAAAAGATGAGATGAATTCAATATAAATCAAACACGAAAATACTTTAAAACAGTAATCATGATGCAATATTAGACTTTTAACACTTTCATCGAAAACCACACAGTTTTTCTCTGTTAACATAGTTTCAAGTGCCAAATTGTGGTCAAATCTAAAATGTTGAAACATGCAGTGCCTATGAATTTCAAATATCTCCTATATAGCTGTATTTCCACAGGATAAGTAAGTTGAAATAATCTGATTATGTAACACTACAACAGTTTTTTCATCCCCACCCCCCTTTATGGAATCCGATACATTGCTGACCAATCATAGGTCGCCCTGTTCACTCGGGCCTGTCAAATGATTTACAATGGCGATGGTGCCTACAACTTTCCTGACCAAGAGATATGCTCAACCGTCGATCAACACACAAGCCATTAATGTTATCTTCCAATATGAGAGGCCATGATAAACACACGGGCGTCCTTTTCAAGCTCGGAAATTAAGTCATCACCAAAAAGCAAAGTTTACAGAGGTCCTCGGGGCTGGAACCCAAACTGATTACGATTTGCCCTCCACTTCCACCACAGGTGTCATAGAGATCAGGGATGAAATTGATATGCATCATCGTTCTCCTAAAGCCAGTCCAGGAAGACATCAGGTTTTGAGATGTAGACCTGAAATGTTAAATTTGGATGAGAATGAGAATTCTGGGGTTAGGGTTAGGGTAAGGACTGGGTCTTGGGTTAGGGTTAGGGTCAGTCTTGTTTACATCTAGTGACTTTAGACCAAATCTGCAGTTGAGTTGGCCTTAATATTTAGACCTAACCATGTTTTGATATCATTGTGAACAAAATGTTACACATTTACAACCCAAAATTCACACTCAACCAACGGATACCCCCAATCATGGCTATTTTGATACCAAATAGTCAAAAAACTTACTGCTGGGCAATAAAAAAGCAGTATTCTTACCATTTCTGACACTTTCCATTCAAAACTTCAGGAAATAAGCCGTTGAAAAAATATCAACATCCTTGAACTTGCCTGAACTGAAATTACTTCCCCTGAGATGACAATAGCTAGTCAGGTGCCGCGTTATAAAACGAATAACTGTATACATTCCTAAAGGGAACTTACATCAGCTGTGTTTAGATTAACGTCTTGGGGACGAAATGTAAGAAATTGTACGGAGACCGTGATTGGTTATTCCAATTACTGTATCCGGATTACTTTCGTGAAATAGAAAAACCGAACAACTGAGCGAAAGATAATACAATACCTTGGTATGGCGATAGTGGAATTATAATAAACATCGTGCTTGACAAAACGAACCGTACAGACTAATAAAATTTTACGGTTTCACCAACCGTGACCCTTTCAGCGATATCGGCTAGTAATTGATATTGCGAGAAATTAAATAGTGGGAAGTTATGATGACCAAATTGGGATGTAATGATAACAGACATAGGCCTGTTTTATTTATTGATAATCTCATGGTGAAGAACATAAAACTTTAAATACAAACTTCTGTCTTGCTTGTAAATGTCCTTGGCTCAAACATTTTAATTGATTTTTACTTCAGATAAGATTCAGTCTAAGGATTCTAATGCCGATAAATTTATTCACGAACTACAGATGCAATACCCTAATCAACTCGACAACATTACTGGGGATGGGGACACAATCAGCGGTTTATATAAGAAACTACTTCTTTCTGAAGTCTGCTGGGACAACGGTACAACGCCCATCTGTCCCTATTCTGCTTTGAGATCGGCGGCGACGTTCAAGAACAAAACCTCTGACTATCTTAGAACGGAGCAAGTTTTTACTTTACATTATGGGAAGGTGCATTATCTAGAAGAGAAAATTAGTCACATTTTACATTACATTAGTGTTGCTATACTGACCATATTGGTGATTGAGGTAAGTAAAACGCAAAACATTTCAGCCTTATCGACATCAGTGATGACGTCTGTGAACGATGCCAGACAATGACAATTAAATTACATTTAATAAGTGCAGGAGGAATGCACCACATAGAACCAAACCTCATGAGACCAACTATACAGACATTGCAAGCAATAAATAAAGGGAATGTATCGGGGGGCCTACAATAAAACTACAACAAGACAGCAAAAACCCGGCAATGGCTGCAAGATTCAATAGAAATATTGCGACTGGTTTCCACCATCGTCGTAGACTGAATAACGTATTTTGGCGACGATAGTCTGGCAATTGCCGTCATAGGAGAACTTAAAAGAAAATAACAATAATAAAGGCGATCATTATAATGCGGATAAAATATTGGAAAATGCTAAACTGGTTAAAATTAACCATTTTGAAATTTTGTGTAACTATCCCTTTTAAGAGAACATGGTTACGAAACTGTATTCTGTATTCAAATTTATTCTGGAATCAGGTGTGAACTCTTCATACAAAAGGTCGTTTAGTTTGAGCCAGAAGGGTAAAACAAACGTGTGTGTCAAATAGTTATTAAAGTTCCGTTAATTTCCTATCGTAACATGTTGTACCTGTTCTTTTTTCAGACATTTATAAAGATTTTTTGTACAGTGCCTAGATTTTTCAAGCATAAGCTGGAGGTAGTGTATTATTTCATTATGCTACCCCTATTATAACATTATTCACGAACTTCAAATAGAACCCCCCGGGAACACTGGTTAACATTTGGCCACTAATGTGTCAGGTAGCGTTTGATTAAAGTGAATATTTGCATGATGCCACTAAGTTGTTTCATCTTTACTTTCCACAGCTCTTCGTTAAGATATTCCACTGCTCAATTACCTAGGGAACATCAATCAATTTACTAGTGTCGTGCAAGTAACGTCACTCGTCGACTTTTACGTCTTGCAAAAACATAGAACTCCTGAGCACTAGCAACATGCAACTGAGATATATGCCAAGTAGTCCCATCATAAACTAATTCACATTTTTCGTTTTCTTTTTCATTTGCAGATATTTGATGCGTTCATTGTGGTGATATCTTTAATTCTAGATTTAGTTTATCTTGACGGATTTGTTAATATTGACATAGGTGACTTCGTCGTAGCAGTGTCATTCATTTTACCATGGAGAATTATTCGAATTCTTAATAGTGAGTATGAACATCGTGGCGCACATAAAATCTTGTATATATTCTTTGGCCGAGTCATTGATGTTTTTAAGACTTTCTATCTAGTCTCGACTTAAAACTGTTAAACCATTTCTAGAGACATAAAGATGGCGGCGTGAAGTCAATAAACACTAATATAACTTCAAATGATCATAACTTACGTCTGTATAGATCAGTGTGGATAATTATTTGATTAGTATGGTTTAGGTTGGTTATTTTTCCTTATTGTCCACTCTATAGATGATTTATGAAGCTTTTGATATATTCACTAGGCTGAAAAGAAAAATAATGTTGGGTTTGACGTGTTTTGATTATAAACAGTTACACCGGGAATGTTCAAATAACATTGACTGCGAAATTTTAGAATTTTTTTAATCCTTGGTTGAGATACAAACGTTTTAAGATCTCTTAAGATCTGTTTACACATTATAGCATATATATTTCAAGGTTAGCTATTGCTACTAAAATTACCGTACTCTACGTAAGTCAGTGATTTCAGTAACACGAAATTCTTCGGTCAATGATGGGATGTCGAGCTTCAAGCCAAGACCTCCTCCTCACATTATCTTTCACCTCCTATATATTCCAATATATAAGAGAGATTAAGACGGTTTGTTTTTATATAGGTTTAATTGTTGCTGTAATGGAGAAACAAAGATATTCTCTAAAGATATTGTACAAACAAAAGAAGAAAGTGGATAAAGTCAACGTAGAACATACAAATAAAATAGCGGAACAAAATGTAAGTAACACTTCATCAGACTGTTATATTCCCATAGTTGTGGAGGAGGTCCTAAAATACTTGACTGAAAAATTGTTATTTCTTCATATGACGTTTAGAAAATTTCGAAAGATACATTTTGCAGCGATCTAGAAAGTTCAACTATCAACAGTTTTTAATCCATTTGGACATTTCTTCTTCTGAAAACTCAAGTTATTCGTAGAAAACCAAAATGGATTTACATCTTATAGCAGCGAGGCAAGCCTGACTGTCACTTTAGCGCAGTAAGAATCCCGTGCAAACTATTGTGAAAAATGGTTCAATTCTGTTCCGGTTTCATAAAGTTGTGTTGAATTGAAATTTCATCAATCTATTCTGCTCGCTATGCAATAAGCCCGTCATCATTTTGTTGTTTGCCAAGGTAATTGATGGGCATATTTTAAATCCGATTGAATCCAAGATTATTTAGCGTTTGTATTTTGATTTGTAGTACATATTGGCCTGGATAAACGGAAGAGAAATTTGATATTTTAGCGGAAAATGCAAATGACGCAATGAGACTTTAATAATTAGTTTTTCCATTTTCTTTTTCAGAAACAAATTGAGAAGCTAAAAGCTATTTGTGAATCACATAATGTACCATCATGGGAAATACAGAAAATTGTGGGTAAGACTATAGATGCTGTGATCATTATTCAGAACAGGGAATAGGGTGGGATGTTTTCATTTTCAATTTTTTATTTTGAGCCGAAACTCGTGGAGAGAGAGAGAGAGAGAGAGAGAGAGAGAGAGGGGATGGGGTTTAACGTCCTCTTGACACAAACTAGGTCATTTCGAGTCTTTAGCAGTGGGGGGAAACCGGAAGACTCGGGAGAAAACCCACGAAGTTGGACAAGCGATCCTACTCCTTGTAGGAATCGAAACCACGCCACAAGGTTGGGGGATATGGAAAGAAACAAGTGTGTTACTTTTTACCGTGTTGGTTAAATACAGTATATTAAAATGACTAGTTTTATTCATCTTTCGACGAAGTCATTGTTGCAATGCAGCCGATTTTGTGCCCCACTGTCCACATAGAAACCAAAAATCCAACTAAACTTAGAAAACACAAGCAAATCCGACTTAATCTTTTTCGAGATTAAAATCAAAGATTAAACTTGTCCCATTCACATATTATTTTACCTAAACTGCCTAGATCCTTTAAATATTTATGTCTAAATGTTTTATTGTCCAAAAGATCTTAATTTCCTGATCAAAAGATTAATCGCTCTATTTTCCGACACTTGTTTAAACTCTTCATATAATTCTCCGCCTGGTGAATTTCCTCGTGAGTGAGGTAAGTCTTAGAAATACTGAGATTTTACATACATGTTTGACTGGACAAAGAATTGTTTCATTGTATGATCAAGTCGACCGACTCTCCAGTCACGAGAGAAGTTATTTCCAATTTAAATTTGCTTTATTTTTGTTATTTGCAGGTTTACCAGAGAAAACATCTGCTTTAGGTAAACTTGCCTTCCGTGCAGCAGGCAGTTTGACGCCAGCGCCAATGACACCAGCTAATAGCAGCACCCCTAATCTATTTTCTACAGACTTTACAAATGGTTCGCTACGTAGTTCTAATAACAGCACAACCTCCCGTAATGCCCCATCTGGTCATCTGGCCATTAACGGAAGTGCTCCGCAACTTGGAAACGGGGACGTAACTCTCGTTGACGAAGGAACAAAGCCAGAATCAATTAACACACCAAATGACGATCCACCAGTTTCATCATCGGACAAATTAAACGAAGACTCACACGTTTCAAAATTGTAAAACGTACGGGAACGTTTACATTTATTGCTGTTTACGATAAAGTTACAATACCGGTATTGAAAAGTTGTTCGTAGCTGTTTTAGGGCTCATTCGTTTGTCTGTTTTATAGGCAGTTTGTTTTGATTCTTCTGAGACGAGAAAGATTAATCTGAGAGCCACATTAAGGGAGATAACTAGATTACTATTGGTCTTTGTTTCTTCTTCTTCAATGAATATCGAACACTCTCGAAAAAATCGGATGAAGACAAATCGTGTGCAAAATGAACTTGATCGTGTGTGTTTAATAATTGTTATTGGCTATGATAGGCGCATGTAAAAACTATAACCATAGATAAAGTTTTTTGGACGATAAAAGCAGTATGAATTTTACAGACAACATTTGAAAGTTGAACACCATTTTTATAAATGGCGGCTTCAATCGGGCTGATTTGGTGGACAGAAGTCTCTATCTGCATTTTATTTGTATTTATTTATTCTGTATAACACTGACTCTCTTAGTCTCTTGAAATCTTGAAATCATAAGGTAACCTTTAAATCCACCATAAATTGTCATAATAACAAATAATCATTACGAGACACTCTGTCACCGGATAAAGCAATAAACTATAACACATATGTATGGAAGGACAAGTACTAATTTCTTTGGACGACGTTTCCAAGAGTATTCTCTCAATACTATATGATTCGCCTTTTGCTGCCCCTATTACGGTACATTATTAAGTTTGTTATTATAAATTAGTGCTATATTGATAATGTTAAAGGGGCAACAATCCAGACAGTTCACATAGTAAAGATGTGTACTATTTTGCTTGGAATTAAGACAGTTCTTAAAATGTGGTTTACTGTATTTGAGTTCCATTTCTTATTGACGATGTTAAAGACAGTCGATCTATTTCTAAGTTTGGGTTCCTGTCTGTATTTTAAGTAGTTCCCTTAGTTTCATTAGACATGACCTCATTTGCTTTAAATTTTAAAGTGCAGAATAGGTTGCATTTAATATGATAATGTTTCGCAAGACCAATGTAATTTTCTACATTAAATTTTTACGTCCGTTGAGATAGAATTAGTACACTTAAACTTCCGTAACTTTGTGGAAATAGCAATTAATGATCCAAAGCTTGCTCTGTCATATCGGATCAACCGAATCCAACGCTTCTGGGAGTGTGTCTGAGATTTTATTGTGAAATATTGGGTATTATAATATAGGTATAGGTCATTTGTAAATAGCGGTAAAATATATATTATTTAAATCTATGCAACGGGGATTAGTGTCTATATGCATTTTGCTGTAGTTAAATAGTTAAATAGTTTATACCTTGTGGCTTCATTTTTAGTTTTAATCAACGCTGAACATGATTATTAGTATACCATTGATTTAATTTAAATACTATCATTTTTTAAGCGTGCCCTAATTTTAATATTGGAAACCATTTTGAAATGTACTTAACGGTAGAGTCTATAAAAGGGGTGTATTCTATGGAATATATATCATACAAAATAATTCTATTTAATAAGTACCATGCTTTAAAAGCGCCGAGATCTTAATTTTTAATATTGGTACCTTTTTTTAATATTGGTAAGCGTTTTGAAAAAAAATGTACTAATATCTTTAATATAGGAGATGAATTCTCGATGATATCTATTAAAATAATTATATATAATTAATATCAATATTTAAAGGTACCTTAGTTTTTAATGATGGAAACCATTTTGAAAAGGATAATCGGTATCTGTATCGTTAATGGAGGATGAATTCTCCGTGACGTCTATCATACAAATTCATTATAAATAATTGGTATCATGTTTCAAAGGTACCCTGATATTAGATATTGGAAACCGTTTTAGAAATTCATTTACAGGTGGTGTCTTTAACGGGAATTACTTTTTATGTAACTGCTGTCATAATTAAAGGTGATGTTGTTTCTTTAGATACCCCGATTTACTGCTATACACGGAATATGTAAATAAAACGCAAAATGGCGCCTTGTAAAAATATTTCAAACAGGCTACCGAATTTGTTTCTATTTTATTATGATATTCATGAATTAAAGTGCTTTGTAATATTAAACATAATCTGTCTTTAATGCTCATCTAAGACATTTTATGCAATATGTTTTTTTTATACATAATATGACTTACGGCGATCTCGTTCTACAGATTTTACATTCTTTTTTCTTAGATTAAATGTTAGATAAGCTATATTATTCAATGACATTGTACAGATCTTATTATTATGCAATTATGTAATAATAATGCAATTACATATACAATATATAGATACTTACTTTGAATAACATTACAAAGTTTTTGTTTATTTTTTGATAAAATAAATTCTTTAACTTATATTAGAGTTACATTTTTATTATGGTGTTAATATTATGTAATAAAATAAAGTATTTCCTTATAAATGCGCTATCAAAGGACGCATACGGTCGATCAGTACCGATTTAGATAAAGAGAGAACCTAGCGCCGCCCATCTAGACGGTGGAAGCGGGCGTTAAATAAAGCTATTTCACACAAAAAAGCCGTGGATGACGACGCATGTTTAAGACAACAGTGTGTGCAAAAGAGGCCCATGACAGTGTTTAAATATTATAGACCTTGGCCAGAGGCTCCATGGATTTTAAAGCCCTATGCTTCAGTCTGCAAATCCTGTATGTAAATCCAGCACTGCGGCAGGTCCATGGCTGTCATCAATTAATTTGATAAGTTTCACATGCTCATGGTTTGTGTTTGTCGTATGTTGCGTATTTTGTGTTTGCTTGATTTATATGCGATGTGTTCTACACACATGGCGCACTGCACATAGTTCTGTCGTATTCGCACCTTCTCAGAGATATTTTAGTGAAAAGACCTGTTTTATTCTCGAAATTTTGGTCCACATGGTTCCAAACTTGCAACTACAAAAGAGTCTTGATAATCATGTCTATAATAACGAAATAAAATGGGGTTTAACGTCCTACTGTTCTGCTCCGACTGGGATAATGAAGACGGACATACAGTGTGCTATGCGAGAAATTTTGCCCGAGCAGCGGCACTATGGCCTACGGTTATATCAAATTCCAACTGCCAAGGGATATTTTACTTGCACGCCAATGTGTATAGGGGACCTCGATTTTTCGTCCCACCCGAACGACTAGACAACTGACAAGGGAATACCACGCCGGAAAATCCCGATGGACTTTATCGGTCACTGCAGGGATCGAACACGCGACGTCCAGGCTAGCGAGCCAGCATCTTACCCACTTAGCTACCGTGACTCCTGTCTATAATGACATTTCAATACATTGAAATAAATATACGTGTTTCATATCGTGAATCGGTGTTTGTGAGGCGGGCACCAATTCACCATATTTGGCATTTTCCAAAAAAATCTTTTATAACTCTGTTATATATCTGTCTGCACCCTATCCGGAGTGGTGGTGTGGTACGGATATTGTGCTCATATCTAGAATGTCCCGTTTTCGAATTCTGGTAGAGGCAAGAATCCCCATTTTGATTTTTCAAGCCTGATTAAATCCGATAGAGGTAAGTCCTATTGACTAAACTGGAAAAAAATAATGAAAAGTCAGGGCCTAGCGCACGCAAAAAATCCATTGGTATTTGAATTAGAAATATATTACTTAGAAATGCCACTGTCTCGGCAAAAAACTACACTGAGATAAAAAAAATTACTATCTTCTAGTCTCCCCTTTTCACCCCCGTGGCCGAGATTGCAACATTTCAATTACTGCCCAGAATTCGCTAAAGTAAAGAATACGAAATGTTCAATGACGGTCTCGTCGATTCGTTTGTCCTCGGGGATCACGGTGGCTAAGTGGGTTAGACGCTTGCTCGCTAGCCTGGAGGTCGGGTGATCGATCCCTGCATTAGCCGAGAAAGTTCATCCAGATTTTCCGGCGTGGTTTCCCCTTGTCAGTGATGCAGGACGGAGGGCCTGACAAGGAAAGCTGTCTAGTCCTTCGGATGAGACGAAAAACCGAGGTCCCGTGTATACATTGGAATGCACGTAAAAGATCCCTTGGCATATGGAATTCGATAAAAGAGTAGGCGATAGTGCCGCTGCCCGGGCAAAATTTCCCTCATAGCACACTGTATGGCGTATGCCCGTCTTCATTAGCCCAGCATAGGTGCAGAACAGTAGGACGTTAAACCCCATTTCATTTCATTTCATTTTCATTTCGTTTATCCTCGTACTTACTGCCACATAGACAGAACCATAATTAAATTAAACTTATCACCCTGAGTATTTGTTTTTAGCTATTGCTAACTTATCATTATGTTTTACACGCAAAATGTCAATGATTTGCTATTATTTCGCTAAATGAAAAACAGAACACGTTTAAATATTCTGACCCATTTCTTTGCGGTTATATAAATTCTGGGATGCCTCCTGTAATAGATATAACAGAAATTCATACAACCTATATAAATATAGTATCGGTTTTTTATTAAAGATATACAACTTTACACCTTAACAACTAAGTAATCTACGAGAAAAATATGCTAAATAATACAAAACTGTTTTCTTTTGTTGTATATGATGTTTCATGTTGTGCTGTTTACAAATTGTTGACAGATTAATCTATCATTTAAACATTAAATTGTATATTAGATGTAAGTTTACATTTTAATGAACCTCTGCATCCATTAACCTTAAAACCTTAAATGAAATGGGATCCACCGTCCTACTTTTTAAAACCTACATATCTAATAAACACGTGCTTATACGCCAAGATAGAGGTTTTGCCGTGACATTAAGAGTATATTCATATATTTATACGAAAACTCTGGTTGTTCGTCTGATCAGAATGACAAGACACTTTTCCTTGTTCCTTGGGTTTACTCCAATCAAACATAACCTAAGCTTTACGGTGTGAAAATCCGACATATAACTATAGTAATTATCCAATTTAACAGATTTTCCCCTTTTCGGTGGATTTAAATCCTGCTTAGTCGGGATTAGCTTGTGGGAAACTCACAAGAAGGTCCTTTTGTCAAAGTAGGTCTGCAGTTTCCGGATTACTTGTTTGTTTGTGTTTTTCTGAGTATGTCCGTGTATTTGTATTTGTGTGGTACAGCCCCCCTGCACTTACTATTAGGTCCCTGTGCACGCCTATAAGACGTCTTTGAAGTTCAAATAAGGTTTTCGTACGTGTCCATGTAGAATAAAGACATTTACCATGTGTAGTAATGTAGACAATTAGTAATACAACATCAAAGATATTTGATGCTTATTCATATTTCGCTTCTTCAACAACAAAATCAGCTCTGTAAAACCAGCTCTGTCCCATACGCCTACAGACATATATTCAAGGGGAATAACCAACTATTAATTCTTGCTAGTTGGAATAAGACTAGTAATTGCTGACTCATTCATTGCAATTCTCTCGTTTTTGAACCCATTTTGTATGGCAATTTATGTTGACTTTTAGATCTTGAAACGAAGAAGAATGTTTGAATTTCCATCTTCTGACAGAGTTTGTAAAATTACATGATTTTGGGTATGAAAGAATCAGGAAGTAAACATACATGAATTAGGGTGATCGTCTACAGAAATGACCCCATTGTCTATAGAGTTCTTCGACCAGACCTCGTAAATGTAATAAGTTAACCCCTTTAATATTTGTAGTTATAAAATTAAGATAATAGGTCAAGAACTTTCAAAGATTTAATATTGATGTCCATGTGGGGAGAATTACTAGACTCCTGTTTCAAATGACAGACTGTTGCCGTCGGAGGTGGTAGTGTATGTGATGACGCAATTTTCCTCCGTGCAACTGTTGAAATCGCTGTGAGCACCGTAGTCCAGTGGTCAAGTCTTTATATCCTTGACTAATGAGGTAAAACGTTTATGTGCCTGTACATACAGTGGATCGCCTTGACTAAGATAATGGTTAATTAGCCAGGTTTATTGTCCCTTCAACTCATAACATTGCGCACTAAATTAAGTCTGTGGTGGATGGTGCTGTTTAAACTTTAAGACACGACCAGTGTCTTGTACTATCAGTGATTGGTGAAGAGATACGGGATGTTGACATTACAAAGAGACCGTCCGCACTCAGTTTTACAAAATCAACCAATGGGAATAAAGTCCGACAGAATGAGGCCCGAGGGGACACGTTAATACAAAGAATTAATAACGGAAGTCCGATTCTAGACAGTCTAACTGAGCTAACTAAGCCTATTGTTTAGTACCGTACAGTTCATGATTTATTATCACGCTGCAATATGCATATCTAGTCAAGTGCACTTTAGATCATAAGGTCTAGCATCGAGTCAAGTGGCGTGCTCATAATGACATGGGGTCGCTTGCCAGCCTGGCAGAAATGCTCTTTGTCCGCCGGTTTCCTCCTATTGCTAAAGACGCCTACGCGCATGCGAATTAATGAAATACAATGATCCATATGTTAGTTCCGAAATAAATTATATAGTGTCTGTTGAGTGGGCGTTAAACCCCATTTCTATATCTTATGGCTAGTAAGCAAGTGTCTGACTCAATGCCCCACCGTGGATCCTCAGGTTGCAATTTGTAAAGATAATCATTGTAGTTATTTGGCACTTCCACTGACATACGATAGAACCAAATCATGCAAATTCAATATGAAATATAAATACTATTTTTCAAATAATGAAAACAAAATTTATCACTAAGGAGCATGCGTTCCAGTGTCATTTGTCACAAACTGTAGTTTACATCATATCTACTCTACAATACAAGATTGATACGGGTATTAATGAGTTACACATTAATTACCTAATCTTGTAATTTATAAGACAAATACCTACTGTATTATTAATAATACACATCTTATGTTAAGAATAGCGATTCAATTAAAACCAAGCGAAAACTTATATAACCTCGGTAGGAGTGACGGTTAATCTTGACTGACAGATTGCCCCGGGCTCTCTGAAATGTAGCAACGTATTACTTTCCTGCACAAAAGGTTATTATCCCACTCGTACCCGAATACATCAATAAAATTTCACCTTTATCAAGGGTGAATTCAAAGTTCCGGGCTAGTCATTTAGTTCTTTAGGTGCGATAAAAGTATAAAAAAATAAGTTTTATTTTTAGAAGTAGTGAAGATTATAAGTGCACGGTATACCTTTCGAATTATTCACGATTTTTAACATCCGATTCCCGCTGTTTCGGTTAACTCATGGAACAGAATTGTGAGGTTTAGCCTATCTTTACAAGTTACATTTCAAGAAAACTAGGCTAACCCCTCTCTCCGGACAGAATTCTACTACACCCATGTACTGCAAAATATTCCGTAGGAAAATTTGCAAATGTCGCATGCTTGGATCAGTAGTATTTTATAAGAAAAAAAGGAGCACT